GCTTTATATATAGAAAAAACTTATAAAGAATTCAAAAAATCTTCATAAATAAACTTATCTTCTATGTTTATTCATAAAATATTTATAATTTGAGCATTTGTTATTGTTTTTCCAGTACAGCATCTTTTAAAAATCTCATCTTGATTACGGCTCCCCAGTGGCACGGCAGTATGTCTGTAGACTTCTAACGCTAAAAACTGGGTTTCGATACCCATGGTAGGCACAGCACAGATAGCCCATTATTTAGTTTTGTGCTTAACTATAAACAAACAAACTCATCTGGATTAGGTATAACTGTCTATCAGTCTCTATATTTTTTTCCCTTAAATTCTGCATTCACTAGTAAGCTCAGTATTTCACCAGTGTAGTTATTAAGTTTAACAAAATTACAGCTACCTTTTTTAAACAAAAGTTAGTCACAGGTTTGTAATAGTCTTCTTTTTTATTACTTCATAGCACCACTTCTTTTATTTGGGTATGTTTTATAAGCATAAGTCTAAACCTTATAGAGTTACCTATTTTATGCTTTCTTTCAACCTATTCAAATTGAATAAATTTAAAGACCTGTACTCAAACTTGCATCTACTTTGTGAATTTTGCAGTTTGTTCCTGTCTGGCAGGTATATTTTATCTAAAGTACAAACGTACATGTCTGTAAGTTTGTGTATACATTGAAAGTTCATTTCAAAAAGAATGATGGTATAAAATGTAAAAGTATATTATTTTCCTTCAGCTGCTACTGGTTTCCTGTCTTCCTGGCTACTCTTCTGTTTATTGCTTTTGTTTCATAAAATTTTAACATTTAATATTAGAATATGCACAAACTATGATTTTAACCTATTCTCTCTCTCTCTCACACCTTTTTTTTTAATTTTTTTTAATAGTAATAATAATAATAATAATAATAATTGTATCAGTAGGGTGTAACAAGCAAGCACCGTGCTAAATATTTTAGTGATGTGCATGTATATTAAAGTGTAAAGACAATTTTATGTAGGATGGAAGTTTTTATAATGACTTAATCTTTACATATACATATAATATTCCCATGTATTTACAAGATATCATGTATTATGCATAAAATGTTTTCACTGTGTATATATAACAAACACATTGGTGTAATGCTAAATAAAGAAATGCTAGAACATGTTTAAGTTAACCATGTAAAGTGAGATTTGTTCAGAATAATGGCAGTACAGTATTCTGGCTAAAAAAAAAAAGTAAAGGCAAGCCATGCCCATGCATTCCCACCACACCAAACCTCTGAATAATCATTGTAACAGCAGAAGTTTATCAGGAAGGATTTCAACATATGTTTCATACAGCTTGTATAAAATGTTTTTTGAAGAAAACTGTAAAATGCAAAACTTCTTATTTAAGTCAAATAAAAACTTAGAAAAGGAAAAAGAGCAAAAGAGTTATTGTCATATAGCCATAAAGGTGGCAAAGGGTGTTTCTGCTTATAATGCCATCTTGTCTTACTGTCTGTCACCTACTGCAGTATATTGTGGGAGCATAGCTTCTCTATAACTCCTAAGACAACAGAAGTGAAGAGTTTATAAATACAGCTTGATTGTTAACAAAACAATATTTGTGAAATGATATGTTAACAAGTTATTAGGTAATTAGAAGTGAAATATATTAAAAATAAGAAAGAAAAAAAAAGTATAACCTGTAATTTGCTAACATGTCATCAAGGAGATAAAAACAGTATGGCCTTTCTAATGTGTTTACTATTAATAATTCCTGTATGCTGTTTAGAAAAATTTAACTATTGTGCTATGGGTTAGGCTTACCTACTGTGTATAGTAAATCAATAACATATATGTTGTATAGTTTTAAATCAAAATTGTATACAAATTTTAAAAGACGTAGGACTTTATCATTAATTAGGTCTATCTTCTATGTAAAGCAAGTTAAAAAATAATATTTTTTAATCATATGTACTACAGATGTTTTTAATAGAGATAGCTGCCCTGTAGTGCTCCAACATTTCCCAAGTTTTTATCATCCATGCACCCCTTTAAGAAATATGGTTTCTTGTGTGCCCACCATGTTTTTTTTGTAAGTGAATGAAGGAGTGAGTTAAGTGATGAGATATATAACACAGATACACATTGAAATACAATATGTTTTGTAGTAGTTAGTTATTTTCATTAATGAAAAATTTGTTAAAATGCTTCATTTTGCATTATTGCACTATTCACTCTACCCTAATAACTCATGCCCCCTGGGGGTGTGTGCCCCACATTTTGGGAAGTGCTGAATTAAACATTAAAATTATTTTTATCAGTGTTCTAATAAATATGACCTTATAATTGTAGAAATAAATTGTGCTGGATTGTCCAATGTAATCCTGAGTCCAGTCATTCTAGACAATTATTCACCTGAAATTTTTCAAGAAGCTGATTAGGTCTTCTTTAGCTGTCCATTCAAATTTTGGCAGAGTTGTTATTATTATTATTTTAATGAGTGCAAATGCCATGGTTTTTTGGCTGACTAGTGGCAGAGGTACTATTACTTAGAGAGTGATGTTGGTGCTTCATGGCACTTGAAAACTCCAGAACTTAAACAAAAATGTACTTCCATTCCAGAACAGTAAAGTGATATCTGGCAACTTGGTAAGTTACCTTCTGGCTTCTGGCTGTGCCAGGGGTTCTCAGCATATCTTCAAGATGCACACAACCTCACTTAACAGTGAGGTGACACTGGATGGCTTACTTTGTCTCCAATTCCCCTTTAGTAATTGGTGACTTCAGCTGAAAATGGAGATTGGAAACTGTCAGAATTTAAAAATCTGTTCTTCACCAGTTGTCAAAATAAAAAAGGTTTTTAGTTACTATTCTTAATGTTATAAATATATACTATGTTGTTGTTGGGCTTAGGATTCTTCTACAGTAGGTGTCTGTGACTTGTTAACAATAAATTCATTGATGAATAAACAGCATGCACTTCACTTGTTTTCAATATAATATATATATATATATATATTCAGAACAAGTTAACATATGTACAATAAATTCTTGAACATTATAGATATTATGTACATATCATAAATATTATATATGTAGTTCTCTCCTTCTTGTCAAATATTCACTTAGGCCTATTCAATTACTTTAGAATTTCAGTTGACAAGCCGAACTATCTTCTCTATTTCTGTTGCACTAGTATTCTCTGTGATTCACTTAAAATTGTGGCATGAGTTACCATAATTGCTTGGTCTTCTTTCTTTTGAAGATCCTCTGTTGCTTTTCTCAAAGTGTGCTCAGACTGATTCAATTACTTTAGAACTATGCTTTTACAGAATAAAAATATTTTTCTTATCTTCTTTTCTACTGTTAGTTTCACTGTAACATATTAAAAGTTAGGCCTGTGTCAATCGTTAGGCCTATCACTTCCATGATAGTTAACTTCACACCAACTTTATTCTCTTTTGCTATTATCTGTCTGCTGCTTCCTGCTCGTCTCACGCTATTTATATCATTATCACTTACTCGTCTGCCCGCCTTCTAGGTTCTCGACGTCAATGAATTATTAACTAAACTTCCTACATTTGTCTGCTTTTAACTCTTATTGTAACAAAAACTAAACAATAATAAAATATTCACTCACAAAATTTTGGTTACAAATTATCAGATAATTTAAATTTTACATTTAGTCCAACCAGTTTGTATGGTAGAAAATTATGTTCTAGATGTATCAGATGGTAAAGGCAGGAAAGAGTTTTTCATGGTGTTTGTTTAGCTTTTAAAACAAAAAGAAATAAGCAGTGTATCTGCACATGCACAATCGACAGTATTGATTTTACTTGTGAATTCAGAATCATGATTTCTACTTAATGATAATTATTTTAACTAGAAATTTTGGCATTCCACACTTTGATTGGCTCAGTTGTGCATACAGGATGATTGAAAGAAGTCAAATACATAAAGAAACTTTTCAGTCAGTTTTAATGTAAGTGGAATGAGTACTGTTTTTATGTTAAAACTAAATAGCTAGAATGGCTTTGTTCACAACTTTACTGATATGAAAGATTCCTAGGTAAAATGAAATATTTTTCAGAGGCATGATATAGTTATGTGGATTTGAAAAAAAAAAAGATTAGTGCTACAGACTTGAACTAAACATGATGTCTTACAAATACACCTAGAATTAGGCAGAAATAAATTTTAGTAACTTGTTTCGAGCAAGAATAAAGAAATAAAGAAAAGAGTTTAGGTTATTTTGCTATGACTAGTGTTTGTTCACTAAATGATGCTTTATTTCATATGATCTTGCATTATTAAGAGACATTTTTTGAAAGCTCTAGAAAATTTGACAGTTAATAAAAATATGTCTGTGTTGCTTAAATGAAGAATAGAATTATTTTTTGTTGAACAGTTCAAAGTTATCCTAAAGGATTTAGTTAAAACACTTTTTCAAATCTTTTGGATCTACTGGAATGAGAAATATATACATTTTTCTTGTACATTTCATAAAGCATGTTGTTTTAAGCTTTATTTACAATGTTTTAATTTAGATGTTTGCTACAGAATACATGATATTATGATCTGGAAAATTAGTGTAGTGAGTAGAAGGTGAGTGTGGTATAAATACAAGTAAAGTGAAACAGTGAATCACCGAGTAATGAATGAGCAGTTGATATATTAAGTGAGTGATTCAGTTCAGTGTTACTAATGATAGTTATCATCTTTATTCAGTTGCTCGATCGATTAATTAGTGAGGACATTCTGTAAACTTTATTTGGGAGTTTAGCATACCATTAGTCTTGGTTGTTTGTGAACTTAGGCCTACAACTTGTGTTAAAGTGAATGTAGCCTGAAGCAAACATTATTGCAGAAATAATTTATTATTGTAATATGGACTGGATTTGGCACTATTTTTACTGAATAATCCATAAGAATCTTTCCACCAATTGAATACATCATAACATTGGTGTCAAAAGTGGGATTCTTTTGGTGAAAATAAAATAGAGCTTTGGCTACTCTTCAAACTTCAACATGGTGAGAATTGAAATGGAAAATTTACTAGAAATGATGAAACAATTAAAAGAAGGTAAAGAAGAAAGGGACAGAAAATTTGAAAAACATGACAGAGGAGTTAGAAAGAATGAGACATAATATTTAAAGAAAAATTAAAAACAGAAATAAACTTGATTGGAGACAATCGATGAAGTTATTAGAGATATACAGAGAAGCTGTAATGACAAAATTGGAGAAGAACAAAAAGAGATCATTGAGGTAGGAATGAACATCAGTGACAAAATAAAACATTTGGAAAACGAATTAGTAAATGCAAAGATTAAATCAGCCACACCTCTTTATGTATCTGTCAAGAATTCTAATTTAAAACACCATTTGTTACAACATATGGAAAAAGACAATCTATTTGGACTAATCCAGCCATTTCACTACCAAATCCAGGTTTAAAATTTAGCTGGACAGTTGAAAGGTACCATGGGAGGCATATCAGGCTCAGTTCAAAATAATTTTCAGATCATATCATCCACCCTCTAAATTATAACATTAAAAATAAGGCTTACAATAATTTACTGTCATGTACATGACATGATGTCAAGTTATTTTAGTAATATTGTCTGTTTATGGTAACTTAGACTGTTCTTCAGTAGAAGTTAGATTATAGCATCATGAATATGATGATTCTGCTATAGCAAATCCTCTTGTTATTGATGATTACAATTGCTTTATTGTAGTTCTTTCATTGTCTTGTAAATTATCTGGTGAAAATAATTCCATGTTTAGTCCACATGATGAGAAGAAATTTCTGTATTTCTCCTTTTAACATTTCTACAAGCTTGAGCAGTTGTATACTGTCATAAATTTTTGTAGGCCTACATTACAAATGGAATTCAAACCTCTAACACTCTAGGGCAAACATAAAATCAAATCAACTTACTTCCGCAAAGTAACTGTAATAAATAGCACACTGACTGATTTACTCTAATATCTTCTTAACTCAGTTTATTTGATAATCTTTTAACTCACTCTACTCTTGAAACTAGTATCCTGTATTTATAATGTAGCTTTGAATGTATGAGAAAACTTGATATTAATGTAAAACTTTGTAAGTGTTCTATGCCTATCTTAGCATCATGCACCTTCTAGCTAACAAACAAAGTAAATCATTAAAAATATAACTTATAACAGTAGATACAGTGGATCACATTATGTCTTAATCCAAAACAAATCTATATACTTGTATACGAATCATCTTGCCTTTTGTTTTTTACACTGAAGTACTAGTGTGTTTCTTTTTTTCACAAGTGCACTGGCTGTGGCCTAGTGGCAGATGTGCCAGACTGTATATCTGAGGATCTGTGGTTCACATCTCATTGCCACAGAAAAAAAGCTTTCTGAACTTTGGAGCCATGGGTTCATTATAAGTTTGTAGAGCTAGATGATTAGTGGAATTTACAAATCAATTAATTATCAGGCTCATTTATAGATTACATTCAAGTAATCAATAATTCTCACATTAGATTTGGATACTTGGAAGAATTGAAAATAGTAATTATCAGAAATACTTATTTAGATTAGTTGATTATTTTTGTGATGTTAATTGATTTAATTATAATTTTAACTAATCAATTATTTTGTGTGGCAGTATTTGATGTAATCTATGCTCATAGGTAATCGATTAAATCAGTTATTGAAGTTGATTTTTCCAGCAATATGAGAATGATGCTCAAATCCTACTATTGTATTAGTGTTGCCCAAAAAGTGATGTTTAATGCTGTTGACTAGCTGGTTGTCCTTGAGTAGCTTTGTACAAGTACTACTGGGAATTTATGTAAAATATATCTATGAAAATGTTGACTTTTGAAATGTAAATTATCTTAAAAAAATAAAAAGCTGTTTGAAACAAAAAATTAATTTTAGTTGGTCACTTTTCTAAGCACTGTTTGAATATTAAACTTATAAACTAGTAATACTTAGTTTTATAGTTGAAAGATAAATCATCATCTTTCCTAAGCAAACAATTGAGGACAAGATGAAAGTTAGAAATATTCTTAAATTATGACCACTCATAAATTCATGCCATATGTTTCATACCATAGAGTGAAGCATAGCATTTTTTTTAACATAACTGAGATGAAAATGTGCATTGTGAGGGTAGAGTGCTATGAGACCAAGACGTGATTCTTGGAAAAATCATTGTATGGATATGTATATATTTAAACCACTAATGAAACCTATTTTATTTTATCACATCCTACAAGGTATAAATACATAAAGATAAAATAAATTAAAATTCATTGAAACAGTTTTTATGTGCATTATATATATTCTATCATATTTAGGGTGCAGTACCCCAGGGTAATGCAACAAAAGAAGCTATCCAACAGTTGGGGTTGCGAGAAGGACAAGTTGTTTATAAATGTCCAAAATGCTGCTGCATTAAGCCAGAAAGAGCCCATCACTGTAGTGTTTGTCAACGTTGTATTCGCAAGATGGATCATCACTGTCCTTGGGTCAATAACTGTGTTGGAGAAAATAATCAAAAATATTTTGTGCTTTTTACAGTAAGTAAGTTTTATTGCATATTTGTATCCAGGTTTATAACCTTATCAGAATTGCACACAGGTTCTAGAACCTAAAAATAATATTTTAAGTTCTCTTATGTTAATATATATATATTGTCTTTTAATGTTTGCTTGTTTGTGAAGATATAATGTTATACCTAACACCTGGATTCCATGCTAAAACAATTCCCTTTAGACCTACATTTATCAAACTATTTGTGAAAAAACATCTAATATCTTCTTAAGACCTAAAGAATTACAATAGCTTATGATGTTTCTCAAATGTTTTAATTGTTATTAAAATGCATCATCTTTAGTACTTGCTTACTTGTCTGGTAAGAAGCATAATATTACTATAACAATATTTTCGGATATGGTACATTACCTCTTCTCACATAAATAGCTATTCTCATTCAATGCTGCCCTCTTTATGCAAAAGAAATGTTTACATATGTCACAAGCCTTCTATCTACCCTCCATTGAAATTGACTGTTTCCAATGTGTCTTATGCAAATCATCATGCATCAACCCTCCATTAATAAGAGTGCGACATACTCTCATGACACATGTGGCTCCTTCTATTCAATTCTACTAAACTATCACTTCTTGTTTGGTAGTACTCATGTTCAGACATATTTTCTTTTGGTGCTCTTTGTGTGAATCATGATTTTAATAGTTTAATTGCTGAAGTGGATTTCTTCATTATTATTTTTTTCTTTACATTGAAGAAATCTATTAATTTAACTTGATTTACAAGTCTTTATTATTATTATTTTTTCTTACTCACATATTTTACATCACAAACACTTTTGTTTGACTTGCATATTTCTACAATGAATTTACCCTCCTCCTCCTTTGTTCCTGGTACCTTTTTCCTTCCCCATGACTTGGGATCCTGCCTCCAGCTTGCATCTGTCCGAGATGGTACAAGATTTTCTGTCTTTACAGGCCATTGCATCTTTTCATCATCTTTCTCCAAGTTTTTGTTCCAGGCTGTTTGTTATCCCCATGTCAAACCGGACACTGACAGCTTGTACGAGGTTTGTCCCTCCTCATTCAAATTTTCAATCTGTCCCCGTTTGATCTTGGAGTTATTTCTCACCCTTAGGTGGGTTATTTTTCGCCAGGTTTATCAAGGTCAAAGAGGAATGTCACGAATGTTTGTTTAAATATCCTGATATTTCATCATTTGTAACCCTCTCTTCGGTTTATTCTCCACAAGGTGGTTTCTTTGTTTTATGCACTGCCCTTCGGACTTGCTTCAGTCTTGTATGTTTTGTTGGGCACTCAGAGCATTCTTTCATCACTGGTCGACTGGCTACTGTTTTCTTGTTCCAAACAGGGGTCTGCCTGTTACCCTTACCAGCTGATCCTGGAGGTGGCTGTAATAAGCTGTTAATCAAGTTGAAGAAGCCTTTACTGCAACCTATCTAATATCTTCTCTAGTTGGGTGTTTTTCTTTTTCTATACATATCTCAGTATGGCCTGCCCTTCTCCTCTTCGACTTTGTTCAATGAGTTTTCAGTTCAATTACAGTTCGCAAAGTTCTATTGATTTTGGGGATGTGATCTTCCATGGTAGCTTTAGCTCTTCAGGTCAGGCTTATGTGCAGGTGGGCTTTTCACGACCAGTGCAATTTTGCATGGATCCTTTGTCAGCTTTTATTACCCTTTCTCCTACGCTTGTTGTCAATTGGGTTACATATGACTCACACCTCGGTAAGTCTCCCACTTCCTTCTCCTTATCTGGTTTTTCCACATTTCATGGATTCATCCCTTTGGGGATGAGGGGCATAGGTTGATCAATTGGAAGATTCAGGATTTTTGGTCTGTGGCTGAGAGGACTTGTCCTATCAACATACTGGAACTTCTCACTCTAGGTTGTGTTTTGGTTCATTTCCTCCATCTGGCCAGAAATCGTCTGGTAATGATCTAGTCTGACTTTTCTTCATTGGTTGCTTATCTCAATCATCAGGGTGGCACCCATTTTCCATCCTTCTGTTTTCATTAGTTGTATCTTCTTTCTGGCCCACATGCTCAATATTCCTATAATTGTGTGTCATGTTGCAGGTGCTTTCACTTTTGTTATGGATTGGATTCCTGTCCAGACAACATTTTCAATCATTTTGTTTTCCAATGACTTTGACTTCAGTGGGGCACTTCTCACATTGAGGATTTTGCTATGTCCCTTTACCACAAATTGCCCTGGTTTTGGTGTCCGGTTCTTCGTCTACTTGTTCTGGCTATTGATGTTTTCAGCCAGGATTGGACCTACACATTTGTCTATCTTCCTGTTCTCCTTCTTTTCCGGGTGATTTTGTTCATCCTTGACACTCCGTGTTCAGTCCTTCTGATAGCTCTTTCCTGGCCATCTCAGCTGTTTTCTGTGGCTTCTTCAGCTCTGACTTCCTCCTCTGTCTTCGTCCCTTCTTTGCCACCCTCAGTCACCAGTATTTCATCCAGACCTTTCTGTCCTCTGTCTTCATGGCTGGTTTTCTCTGATCATTGGCAAGGTAATCTGGCTTCTCCCCACGGTTAGCCTCTTTTCTGGCTTGTTTCATTCCCACTTCCTAAAAGGAAATTTCTCAATTCAAATGGACTTCATGTTGTTGGTTTCTGGATCCATCATCTGTCTCCTCAGTCTTGGATTTTTGGGTGGCCCTGTCCCACACCTTTGGTTTTATCCGATCCCGCAGGTATTTTCCTCTCGTATACTTTACCTGTGAATGTGTTCTTTCTGGAATTGTCGTCTGCTGCAGTTGGGTGCCCTTCTGGTTGGGGATATTGATGTGGTCCTGCACTGCCTCACTTTGTCTATGTTCAAACCATTCTCCCAGTGCTCCATGTTTCACCTTTCCTTATATCTTATTTCCTTCTCCTGTTTGCCTGTGGATGTCGGTGGTCTGTTTATTTGCCATCAATGTTTCACATGCTCTTTATCCTTCTACATATCTTCTCCTTTCTGCAGATAATTTTTCTTCCCTCACATCTCGGCAGCTTGTGAGCACAACTCCTCCGTTCAGCTGCTTTCCCTTCCTTCTGTTTCACACCTTTATCCTCATCCTGATCCGAATAGACTTCTTTGTCCTGTACATGCTCTTTTTTGTTATATATTGCCTGCATGGCTTCCTTCTGTGGTGTCCATTCCTGCTTCTTTTTTTCCTTGGCAACTGTCCTCTGTTTGTATACTTTCTCCTTCTTCTGGGCTCTGCTCCTCATTCGATTGACTTCTTCCTATTTATCGTCTTCCTCCTGTACTTTGTTCTGAGTGTCTTCTCTTCCAGTTCGACACCTTACCAGTCCCTCCACCTATTCAACTTGGGATTTTAGCTACTTATGGGAGAAGAGGTAATGTACTGTATTGGAAGTTATAATTTTCCTAGACTGAAAATGTATTTCTAATAGGTATTTACCTCCATTCATACTTCCCACACTTCCTCCCCACTGAAAACCAGTGCTTCCATTTTCTGCCAAAACTTGAAGTGATAGTCCGGTAGAATTGAATAGAGGGAGCCACAATCATCATAAGAGTATGTCACATTCTTATTGATGGAGGGTTGACACATAAAGATTTGCATGAGAGATGCATTGGAATCAGTCAATTCCAATAGAGGGGAGATAGAAGGCTTGTGGCATGTGTAAAAAATGTTTTTGCATATAGAGGACAGCACTGAACGAGAATATCTATTTATGTTAGAGGAGGTAAGTTCCTATTGGAAATACATTTCCAGTCTAGGAAAATTATAACTTTTAAATTTTACTGGTGATATACAAATGTTGCTCATTTTTGTATCTTCTTCAAGTACTTTCTGGTCAAAAGAAAAACAAAACATTACTAGAACATTATTTTTCAAATTATACTGGTAGTATTAGAATCTTACTCTCTTTTTTTTTTGTCTGAGAGTAAAATGTAAAATAACTCCTTTTTTTACAGCGAATGTATGATATAGAGTTGTATCATTAGCAAAAACAGAAAAAAATATAGAGGAGAAAAGACCTGAAGATTAACAGTAACTTAAAAATGTTACATAAATTACGGTATATAGATATACTTGGATGGGGGTTATAAACTAATAATTTCTAAATTCTAAATTTTTGTTCTAACCATAATATTATAGTGTCAAAGAAATTAAAGTTGTCACTTATTTTTGATACATTCACAAAGTTTTTTTAAATCATAAGCTTAATCAGCTGGTTATATGATGTAGTATACAACTTAAAATATGCTTGTTGGTTATTGTAAAATATTAGCTTCAAAGCACATTCTTGAGCTACAGACAAAAAATAGATGAGTAAGCAGTAAGATATACTTTAAAGTTCATCTTTATAACATTGGTGAACTCTTGTACTAAAATGCATTCCTGTTTTCATGTTATTTTGATATTGTACCTTTCAACTGACAGAGTACTGAAACTAACTTATAACAAGCCATATATTTATATAACATATCTCAGTCTGCTTGGAAAGTAATAATGTAGCATGGAACATTTAATGTTATTATACATGTATGAGATAAATATTCATAGACTAAGAATGATGGAAAGCATGAAGTAACTGTAAAATATTAACAGTATTTTAAATAAATTAGGATAATTAATAACAAAACTGACCATACATATGAATGAGAGTATATTTTGAATGAAAGGGTAAATTAATATTAATTAAAATATACTGATAGCATAAAACAAATCTGATTATCACAAATGCATTAACATTTATTGACAAAACATCAAACCATCATACTACACACGAAAATGAAATTCATTGTGAATATGAATCAGGAGATTTAAGTCTTATTTAAGAAGTGGAATTTATTGTCCACAAAAATATTTTTTATGTCAAGTCAAGCCAAAATTGTTTGTAAAATAAAATGGAATAATGTAATAAACCGAAATACATCAATTTACAAGTTACAAGTCAATTTAAATAATAAAAAAGATCAAAAACTAGATGGAGATTAAAAAAAAAGAGAAATGTTTCAAATATTCAGTTTTTGTTCACTTATGAGATTATTGAGTAAATATTTTTTTAAATAAATATATAAAAGATTTTGTAACAAACTTTTGTGTGTGTTGGTAATATAGTCAAAACTTTCACATTACTGTTGTATTTTTTGTTCACTGGAAATATAATTCCATTTGTACTTGAATTTGAATAAAATGTATATATATATACACATACTTATTAATGTTTTCCTCTTAGTTCTACATAGCTGTGATATCAGCCCATGCTTTCTTTTTGGCCATCAGTCACTTTATAACTTGCATAAATGGAGATTGGAAAAGTAAGTAACATCTTTATATAACTATTAGCAAGTAGTTTAGTTAATTAAAATTCAAGTAGTAAATCATGGTAGTTAATTTTTTATCATAAGTATGAACATTTGGTTGTGAAAAATACAATCGCATGTTGTATTAAAAAATATGAACATAACACAAACCATTTTTATTAAGCATTTCAGAATAACAAGGATTCCATCATCAGTAACCTACAGAAACAAGAAAAAATATAATTACAGGAACAGACCGACAGAGCTAAATAATTCAGCCTTTTTAACATTTAGTTACAAGTGTTAACTTTCCACATTGCTTACATAACACAGCCAATAATCTATGCTCTACTTATCTGGCCTTCACAAAGAGATTTCCTTTCTACAAAATATCCAAACTCAGAAATAATCACCCACTTGCTTTTATATCATAAGATTGTTAAATCATAAAAATTATCATTGTACCTAAATACACCATTTACATATTTTGTAAAACGGAGCATTATTGTCAAGAAACATCTTAGAAAAATATTAAAATATGGGCGACTTACCTCTGAAATACTGAAAGCCTTTCCTTGTTTAGTTTGAACTCATGTTTTCAACTAAATGTGACTAATATTTTCTGAATGTTCTTTATGCATTGTCCACTGGTGGGACAGTGATAAGTTTACGGACTTACAACATTTAAATATGGGGTTCAATTCCCTGCAGTAGATACCGAAGATAGCCCAATGTGGTTTTGCTCTGGAACAACTAACCTTTGTGCATTGCAGAGAATGCCTCATCCATAATTCTCCACTCTCTCACCTTACACACAACTTATTGTACAAGTGTTGATGGATCTTACATAAGTTCTGATTTTCAGCTATAATTTAAGTTTTCTTGTTGACAGTGGTTTTTTCACTTTGTTGCAATATTCTTTTTTGATGCAACTGTTTCCTTCACTGTTAGAAGTTGTATAAATTTGTAGGGGGCCTTTCATTTAAGTAATTGGCCTGTATTACATGGGGAAAATAATAGTGAGTATTCCAGTTTTGATGGTTCAACATACTTTTTCTGTTGTATCCTGATATTTCTGGTAGGTATAATAATTATGAGTAACACATGCCATTTTCACTTGTCTCTGATGAAGGTCAGTTTTTGCTCAAACCTAATGCCTTTGTATTCTCCAAAGCTGGGTTTACTACATAACTAGCCTTAATACTGAATACATTTCTGTTGGTGTCATCTTTTTTATTCTCTCAAGTATGTTATATAGTTTCAATTTTGAACCTATTTCTGTTACATATGAGGATAATTGTGTTGTGTAAGATGACTTCCTTACTCAATTCTTTAATTTTCTCACTTTCTACTGATGATTTTTGACACTACTTCTGTATTCGTACACTTCATGTTCTCCTTCTGTTCTTCCCTTTCATGTTTTTGATCCTCACTTTTGTTTGGGGGGGGTCTTCCATTTGATTTTTTACTTTGATCCATTTTTTAGTTTTCTATCGTGCATGTTATAAGTTGTATTGTTTTGATAAATTAATTTTCTGCATCATTCTCTCAATTACTTTAATTAGATCACAACATATCTACTCTTTACCTATGGGCCCCACTGCTGTTGTGTCTGCTACCATGTGGTCATCACGTTCCTTCCACATTTTTGCCTATCTGAGTCTGTTGCAAGGTGCTGTCTTTTAATCAGTTGGCCTCGTATATGCAGGTATCTCACCTTAACTTTCATCTTACCAGCAGAAGTTTATTGTTTTAGCATGTCATTTTGATAATCATTCCCTTCTGCAGTTGTTTTTTTTTATGATCATTACATCTACCCATACTTTTAAAGCTATTCATTTTATCCTCTTGCATATTGTCCTATTTTAACACTTGCTCAGGGTAAGCAACATGTAGTGTATGTTATAAATAACAGTTTTTTTGTTCAGCACAAATGTGTGCTTAAACTTCCTTAACACTGATAAAAATTTATAAATGGAAACAACATGTAAATTGTAAATAAAGTTTTTCATTCAACATTATCATCCTTTTTTCTACTTGCAGAAGCTAAACATATAGTGTACATTGTAAATAAAAAAAAATGTATGAGCATCGATTAGTGTCACAAACGGAATCATCTAGTGTTTCTCATTATTACTGTTCTTGATTATTCCAACTATCCAGTAATTAAAATATTGTCGCTTTTACTTTTTATTATTATTTTTGATTAATTCAAGTTTGCTCAGCTTAATAAATTATCATCATGACTCATTAAAATGACCAACTGATTGAAATTAGGGTTTCCAATTTTTACTATTTTTGAGTATTTCAATTATCCAAATAACTGAAATATTGCCATTATGTTTGTTTATTGTTACGCATGAAATTCCACAGTGGGTTATCTGTCCATTGTGAGTATTGAAATCTGATTTGGAGTGGTGTGTTAGTTTTTGTTGTTTTTTAGCCATCCTGTGAGAATAATTGATTAGTTGAATGTAGTTGGTTAATGAGCTCAATACTTTATCAGTTAGCAAATTCCACTTATTGCTCAGCTCTACCCCCTTTACTGAATCTCCATGAGGGGCTGCTGACCTTTGGAAGTGGACAGAGGGTGCTAACTGGTAGCCGACACTGCTTCAGCAGGTACTTTTTCCACCTCCATGTGCACATCCTTGTGTGGTATTAGATATGTTGGAAACGGGACTACTGTTATCACTAGATATCTCAACTAAAACCAGGATACCTCTGGAGTATGTCAGTTCATAATACATGTTTAGGGTTCTCACCTGAGAAGTATTCCTCTTACTTGTTATTTCACCACTTGTGTCCCATTGTTTACTTCACAGGTTCAATACACCATTACCATTTACAAACCTGTTCCCTTTTTCCTGAATTAAAGGATGTCATGGGCAAAGATGTACCCTAATGAGAAGATTGCCTTTTTTCTGAATGTCTTAAGAGGCTTGTCTGTTCTGCTCATCCTCCCTTGAATTCAGTTCTGCAAATTATGTTCTGGTTCTGGATTCTATTTGGACTCTGCTTGACTACCTAATCCTTATAGTCTAGATTATTTTCTTCCTGTCCTGTACTTTGTAGTTTGGTAACTTTGGTTTCTTTTCATGTTCATTATCTTCCACGTGGGCCTGGGATGGCCAGGGGGGTTAGGGCGCTCGACTCGCAATCTGAGGGTTACGGGTTCGAATCCCCGTCCCACCAAACATGCTCGCCCTTTCAGCCATGGGGGTGTTATAATGTGATGGTCAATCCCACTATTCGTTAGTAAAAGAGTTGGCAGTGGGTAGTGATGAATAGCTGCCTTTCCTCTAGTCTTACACTGCTAAATTAGGGACGGCTAGCCTTCATGTAGCTTTGCGTGAAATTCAAAACAAACAAACAAACATCTCCTTCCTCCTTTACAATGTAGATATTCTGGCTTTCAGTATTTCAGAGGTATATCTAGTTGATTTGACTTTTAAACAGATACTTTACTCTGAAAAACCTTCCCTCATGCCTCCCCACAACTGAAGTTCCATTATGACTGCAACTTTCAATAAAATATAAATTGTGGTGAGAAAGCAGGGATTCTGTAACATCTTCTGACACTTGCACAATAAGTCAAGTGGAAGGTGAGAGAATTACAGGAAAGTAATGCATGCTCTGCAATGTGTAAAGGACATTGGGAAACTTTTATTGCAATGTTTTTCTGTTCATCATAAGTTCACACTGAACAAGGAAAGGCTTTTAGTATTTTGGAGGTATGTAACTGGTTGAGATTTATTTTAATTATGAAAATGTAAAAAGTAACAAATACTATCCTCAAATTGACCCAAAGGATATGTTTAAACCTGCCATTAGACAATTTCCACAATAAAGTCTGCTTTCTGGTTACTCATTGTGTATTACATGTTTATTTACACATGTGCAAAAACCGTAAAGCTTCCTATACTGATGAAACTAAACTTAAAGTGTGAGAGCACATGAAAATATTGGATTATCAGTCAACAATTCCTTTCACTATGCAATATGTCAACATAATGAACATATATAATTTTTTATCAATATATGAAGCTTTAGAATTCTGAATCTGAACTTCTGATTAAATAAACCTTGCTAATTAAAGAATTCCTTCTGTCTCTCATCAGTTCATGTGACTAAAAATTGTTCTAATTTAATTTTAGTTATTTGTATTTAGTTCTGTGTTATTGCACAATGTTTAATAAACACTGCTTTGTCACTTAGATGTATGTCTACATGTTCAATAAAGTTTTTGCAGTCTTTTTTCTTACACTTAAAAAAGGGGCAGTTATTTTTATCCCACTTAAACTTGCAGTGTACAAAAACCTGTTAGCTATCCAAAAGCTATGGTATAAAAATCGTAATTTACTAATACTAAATAGAATGCAAACATCAAAATCTTTTAAGTTCATTGAGGAGAAAGAATTTAAAGCTTTCATGAAAAGTATGTTTTTATTTTAATACCAAATTTTCTTCTACTTTCTCATTGTGATACTGAATTCATACAAAAGAAGTGAAAGTACTTATGAAAATTAGACTTAATTTTTCCATTATGTAGAGTAAAATAAACTTAATTTGCTTCGATTATACCTGTGTCTTGTATTATGATTTACCAGGTAATAATACAGTATAAAACAAAATTTTATTTAAAGTATGTTTAAAGTTTTCTCTGGAGTTGAAGTTTGCTTCTTTCCAACAGTCATGTACTTCATTCAGCTCTTTATACATTGAAATATCTTTACTTCAAAATTATTTTCAGAAAATACAAAATATGACTTGTTGTTTCTACATTTGGCATTGTTGAACAGTTTGTTTATGTCTGTGTGTATCTTTTTCATATTTGGCTTTATGAGCCCCAGCTACCTGTGTGAGAGTACATCTTAGTATTTTAAGTTATTTTGCTTTTCATGATTGACTGTCTTTTCAATAAAAAATATTATTCCTATGATTTGAGAAATTTATTCTTATCATTATGTGGTTTACTCAGTCAGTTTGGAGGGTTTAAATATTTAAATGCGAGTCTGAGACCTGTAGTTTAGGGTATGAAATAATAAATTTATGGGACTCTGAAGCTTGACAGATTCAGTTATAAAAGGTTGTTTCAAGCTCCAACCCATAAAGTTAATAGTGCTTCTGTTGGTTTCAGCTACAAAGTTAAAACTTGTATTGTTCTGCTTTACAATTTCTATCTTAATTTTCTTGACTGTTCACATGGCAGTTACCTGTGTAAAATGTATCTGATTGCTGTCTTTTTATTCAGGATTTTGTTCATCATAACATATCTTGCTCTTCTTTTTTTTCTAGTCTTCTTGACTTTTAGCTATATGTTCATAAAACAGTTTGCCCCATAATGGACACCTCCATTGACATCAGTGTTTATTTACAGTAAAGCAAAGTTTACTTCTCAAATTTAGGACATCAAGTCAGTGGTAAAAAAAATGTCACAGTAAATGCATTATTCAAGACAAAACCACCACATACAAAGTGGTCCATTCTGAAGACACATAATACACTAGCAGATTACGAGATAAGTGTCCTCATCAAGATCAAATAAAATGAAAATCTTGTTTTGAGTTTTTATACTGATTCACATTTTTGGTGAATTCATATAATTAGAGCCAACTTCTTAAGTTAAAACTCAGGCATCCACTTTGTCATATTCCACTCACAAGATATTCAACTTTCCCTGAAAACTGAAATTAACCTTGTGTTGTTTAATGCCAGCAAAATACAGTAAAATAATGATGATAACATTGTTTACAAATAACAATATTCCTCATTTTTCAAATAACCTGAAACTGAACACATCTTTTCTGTTTCCGCTCTATGAAGCTGAATCTAAAATATTTCAAACTATTGTAAATTTAAAATGATAAACTTTACTCTCCCCTTCTGACACTAAAACACAGTAATCCAAAATGCAATCCATAGTATCTGGGAACAAAAAGAACTGAATCAACATAACCATGAAAATGCAATTTAAGTTGAAACAAAATTATAAAGAGAGAAAAAGGATAATGGTCTAAGCAAATTATTTTTGACAAGTTTGTAATAAAAGTTTTGGCCACTTGGAAATGCATAATAGTAGTTGATTTTTATGTTTACATCCATGTTTTTGATTGAAAATGAAGCAGTAATGAATATCTTTTTAAGCAAAGGTGAATTATATTACATTAAAATCATCAGTATTAAGTATTTATACATTGATATGCCATATAAGTTCTGGTATTTTGTATTTTGCTGTTAAATATTCTAATTTAACAGAAAAAGTTTTCTGCATTATAAAAAAGATAATTTTTACTCATGAATATTCAATGCTTATTCAGGGTTCCCATGCTTTTTGGAAAATTTTGTAAACTTAAAATTGTCTTAATTGTGATTGGTGTTTACTCTAGCAATGATGTGCATAGCTTGCAAACATCACTAGATGTGTTAGACACCTTATTCATCAGTGTGACTATTACTTGCATTTGTCTGTGTTTTCTTGCTTGACCTGAGCTTCCAACTGCAGGTCTTTCTTTAGACCATAATTTTTTTAAGAGAATGGCATTCATCCATTTTTCTCAGTGTTAGTCATGTCATCTTTGGTATATAATGTCATACAGTTGAATATTTGGGCTTGTTGTTTCATGCTGTTTAGTAACATTAGTTGTACTACAAAGTTTTCTGACTATTAGACAGTTCAGTGTTTCAATGTATAGTATCAGCAAAGCAGAATTGTTAAATGTGTAGTTTTGACAAACAGTTCAGAAATAGCCTACATTACTCATAATTAAAATGAAACAACATCATGTTTAATTAACTACCTATCTAATATACAGTTTTATACATCTTTTAATCTTATGTGAAGGCCTGTTTACTGCAGTTTTTTCTTAAAATGCAAGATATTTTAAAATAAACTAATAACACAAATTTTATTTATATTAATTTCATATGAATAACAAAATGAAATAGTGGCAGAGGTAAAATAATGAAACATTATTTATTAGCTTTAATTATTATTTCATTCACCCCAGTATTCAATACTGATGATCCTGCTGCAGCAAAGCTACCTCTAGTGTTTGTAAATGTGTTGTTGAATAGAGATGACGAAAGATTTGTTTTTGTTTTTATTGACACCAATTTCTTTGAAAATTGGAGACAAGTAATAGACTAGGCATATAACACAATTTGTTATTGCTTTTTGGCATTATATGGTGAAAGGTGACTTTTTTAGGCCTAAAAAATAATTGGATTAAAGTCAATAAACTGCATACTGTATGCCAAGTGTAAGAATATGATTTCAAGTCTATCAGAATTCGTGATCTGATCTTGACCTACAACAGCAAGAAGTCAATAGGAAATGATATTTACATGCAGTATTATGGATGTGTGTATGTTTGTCAACAATGATTAATACTGAAAAGACAACAGAATTTCAAGACTTTTTATTTTGTGTCTTTAGAGATCAAATGAGCCAAAAGACGAGTAAATAGTGATGTATTTACTAACTTGTAAAAGAAAAAAAGATAGATTTTTGAGATTTCTAAATAAAAACACTCAACACTTGCTGCATTAATAGAGTATATCCAGCCTCATTACAATGAAATATTCTAATTGTATAGTGAAGTAGAGCTCTTGTAATTTTTGCTGACCTTTTAAGACCATTATGATAGTTTTTTCTTCCACAAAAAATCTGCTCTTTGGTACATTGTTTCATACAATTTGTGTCCGTAGCTTTTTAGTGTTAATGTGATGCCACCTTCATTTTATCAAAATTTCCTGGAAATTTTGTTTTGGAAGCATGAGAACCCTGATTTTATAGGAAAACACCATTAAGAATTTAGATTTTTTTTTCAAAACTTTTTGGTAGTCAGTAACTTCTTAAAAATTATTACATTATCAAGAAAGAAACATAACAATGTTGTGGACTCTTAGAATGTTACATGGATTCTTAAATAAACGAGAGTCGGCTGAATTCAAATATATTTTAAACATAAGATTTTGACCCCCTAGTTTTTGATTAATGAAATTTATTTCTATAATTATAGATAATTCATATGAATATTATATTCACTGTTCTGTTAGTTGTAACATGTGTTAATTATGTAGGTAAATCTGTTTTATTGCATATAACAAGAATAATATTTGTTAGAAAAGAAACTGTATACAACTTGCAGAAAAAAGTATAATTCCATTGTAATACCATTATTTTAATTTAGCCTACATAACTTGAAATATTAATAATCAATTGTATTTATACTATTCCCTGGAGTTTAAGGTAATTTCTTTTTTAAAATATTGGTCAAAAAAATTATCTGAACCTTTCTTTCCTCATTTACGTTTTGATTAATTTTGTGCATGTTCCATACCATTACAATTGTTTTGAGAAAAAAGAAATATCTTGTTATAGAATGTTCCTCGCACTCACCACCTGCTACTGTAGTTCTTCTGCTACTTCTGATGTTTGAAGCTTTACTCTTTGCCATATTTACCTTGGTTATGTTTGGTACTCAAGTCCAGGCAATATGGAATGATGAAACGGTAAGAAAGAAACAGAAAAAATAAAAGAAACAAAGAGAGAGATTAGGGATGTCAAATCTGTTACAACCAAATGTTTGCTCTGAGTTTTGCACACAGCATAAATTATATAGAATTATTTTTACAAAATTGTGAAACCTAACTAGAAAATGTAACTTTTTATTTTTGAGTTAGGGGGGGGTGCACAGTAAGTTTTTCACGTACTTTAAATTATTTTTCCTTTTATTTCTGAAAGTTTATTTTTGGCACTTTTAAGGTTGAGCTTAATAAAATATGTTTTCAAAGGATAAATAAAATAAAGTACTAAAAATCAATAGACAACTTCATCTACAAAATTTAGAAACTACTTTTATTGTTTGTTAAATAAACTTGAACATATGGGTGTTTTCCTTTTTATCTTGTTTTGTGCTTTTACATCTGTATAAAACATTTAGAAAATATAGAAACAAGTAAGGCCATACATAGTTGTTTTGCTTAATGTATATAAAACTGATAATTTATTCTGCCAAATGATTATCATATTGTGTCTTACATTCCCCAAGTCTAGACAAGCTAAATACATCTTTTTCTTTTGTTTTAGAAATTAATTTTTTTTTCTGCTGTCACAATATTCTGAGAAATGTTCAAAAGTATGTTTCTTTCTTTGAAGAAAGTTTTAGGCAGTGTATTGATGTATTTCCTGTGGCTTGCTTCTTCCTTCTGTCTGAGTAAGTGACATTTCAGTTATTGTGCTGAGTCTTTCATCAGGAAGGGTTCTTTATATGAAAAGTAGTGCAAACTGGAGGGAAAATGCTAAAGAATGGAGACTACCAATACATTTTGAGGATGGTGTTTTTTTTTTTTTTGTATAAATCCAGATTATTGGCAGCATGGTTTTAAGAGGGAATTAGTGCTACTGAGTCCTTTTTTTGATTGTGAGAGTGATTGTTTAGTCCAGTTTTTTGTGTTATGTTCTTATTTTGTAAAATGTTGTTTCAGGTGCTGCTCTATTCCAGTCTTTCTCTATGTTGATAATTTGGTGTCCTGTGTTGTAAGGGTGCTGTGCAATGGCTGACTTCTCTGGGTGAAGAAGTCACATTGCATGTACATGTTCTGCTATTCTTTAATAGTTTTTCCAATTTATTAATGTGTTTCCACAGCTGCAGATATATTGTTGCCTATATGCTTACTTTTATAGGCCACTGAGGTGAGGAAGTTCTTTTAGTATCTTGCCAGATTTGACAGTTACTTTGATATTGAAGTTCTAGAAAATTCTCCTGAATTTGTAGTTGATATCCTCTGCTGGGAAAGAAATGGTGGTGGCTGGTTCATCGGTTGTTTGATTGAGACTTCTAGTTCCTAGTGCTTGATTTATGAAGTTCTTAGAGTATTTATTAAATTACAAGGTTTGGCAAATGAGCTAAAGCTCTTGTTGTATGTATTCAGCTTTACAAACTCTCTTAGCTCTATTTTAGAAGTTCCTGGTGATCCCATGTTTGACTAACTGTAAATGGTTGGATCTGTGTGTAGGTACTGAAGGGTGTGGGCATGTTTTATGTAAAAGTTAGTCAAAAGCAGTACATAATTATCATGGTTATGTACTTGTGCTGTTGCATCAAGAAATAGTATTTTGTTGTGTTCTTCTAGCTGCAAAGTGCACCAGTTGTTGGAGTTTTGGGAATTGAGGTGTCAGGAAATGTTTCTTGTGTGACCTGATGACAAATGTGTCACTGACATATTTTCAAATGCATGGCTTTAGGTTAGCTGATTTATGTCTCTTGTCTCAAAGTCTGAAATGAAGAGTTTATTGACATTGGAAGACAGGAGAAAACCCATGACAAAGCCCATTTTTGTTCATAGAAATTATTTTTGGTTGTCATGGTTAATAACCTATATAATCACCTAAATCTAATTATTAATTAATTACTAGTATTTGTTTTATTGCTAGATAATAATTACTAACTAGTTTATATCTTACATTTTGACTGCTAATACACTGCTGTCTTCAGGGAAGGACTGTTTCTTTGGTGGTTGTGGCCAGAATTTAATCCTGGGTTTTCTTGATAGAAATGTTGCTGTACTATCCACTCACTGGATTTGAATCAACTAACTTATTTGAATGATTTCAAGAGATGTATTCAGTTTTGCTCATTTCTGTGCGATATTGTGTTGTAGAGCTTGTTAATTAGTGGAATCTGCTAATTAGCTTAAATGTTGGGTGTAGTAATTGATTACTCTTTTCGTATATGTTCTCTATATTTCATTTCATTAAATATAAGTCAACAAAAAATTGCAACTTAGAAATATGTGTTTGTTTTTAAAGTTTTTCTACAATCGATACACTCAATATCCTCCATTCATCTCTTTAAAGTAATATAATAGATATGTATGTGAGTGTGTGTGTGTGTGTGTGACCCTTTCAGTTATTGATAACAACAAATGTCTTGGCTGTTGTGTATAACGATATAACAAAATGACATAATTTGAGTATCTACACTAGATATATACGTAGTGGAGATCATGTACTTAAAAAATAATAATTTTATTACAAGCTCCAAATGGACATACCCAAAACATCTCTTGATACCCTGTATTTGGGGTATGATCAAATCAAATTATATACTTCCTGGATTGATATTAGACTCTAATCATTTTATTTACTCAAAAATTTGTAATTATTGTCTTAAAAATTAACAGCTATAAAGGAGAACACATGATTATGGCAACATGTTATTTTGGATATTTTTATATGTGAAAAAGTAATGGGACAATCAACTAATAACAGATTTTCAAAACATAAATATTTACTAATTAATCACAATAAAGGCTTGAGTCATACTTATAATTTTTGTGTTATTGATTTGAAATTAAATTTTTCTGCTGGCGACGTGCTACTTTTAACACCCCACATTGTTTTTTCCTTGGTTTACTGGAAAAACTTAACACATTACATACTTTTGGAAAACTGTCCATCGTACGTACTCAGAAAAATTTGTCCCAGAACACCGGCGATATCAAATTCGTCACTTAAGAAAACCTGACCCACATGTTCACAACAGCTGTGCTCAAGATAAAACAAATAAAATGGAAGAAAAATGAGTCGTATGACACCACTAGTTGTAAAAAAGGATTTAAATATGATTATTGATATCATTTTATATCTAAAAGTTACCATCTAGTGTTTAGCTGTTGTTTAAAGAACAGATCAAGTTCTTGCTTCTGTTTAATGGAATTTTGAGCTTAAGAAGAAGAAGGTTATTGTATCCTTATACAACTAGACTTGTGCCATATTGCCCTTTCTTATGGTCTTATTCCTGTGCTCATTATGTACATCATTATTATGTTCAAATAAAGCTCTTCAACCTGTACTTCATAAAGCAGTGTGATACATTGGTCAAATGTAATTAATGTTTTTTTCAATAGTGGCAAGAACATTTAAGACCTCATTAAAACATTGAAATATAAAAAAAAATTCTTATTGTTTAATAGCAAATTGTTGTGTATGTTGCTGTTTACTTCAATAAATACCAGCAATTACTTTTTAAATTAGATTTTTATAAGTGAATTTTTGTATATTTTGTAATTATTATTTTTATTCAATTTAGTAGAAGGCATGTACGCAGTTCTTCAAGACAGCTCTCATACCCATCATTGCCAATGGCTGAAATGTTAATCTTGGAGAAAAATAATCGATGTTGTGGGCGGAGGTTTTGGTTTGTACGAGACATTTGTGGCATCATCTGTGCAGTAATGACTTGGTTGTTAGTATTGTATGCAGAATATGTGATTTTGATTGTAATCATGTTGCCTATCAGTGGAGCTTACCCATACTACAGTGCTGTGAACCTGGTGGTTTTTGAGATACTTGCATTTCTGGCTGTATTTTCTCATCTGAAAGCAATGCTAACAGACCCTGTAAGTATGGTGCATGTATTTAAAAAACATTACATAGTGTTATTTTTGAGGTGTAATCCAAGTTTGTTAAGAAAAATGGATCATAGTTCATGTAATTTTTGTGTTGGTATCTAGTAGTGTTTTAAGAGTACACTCATATACTCACAAATACAGTACTAAACATGGTTGAACATGAATTTTATAATATAATAAACTGTAATAATCTGAGTATTTTGAATAATAAAACGTGTACATTCCAAGAATGTATAGCTTTAGTTGTAGGATTTTGTAGTTTGCTAAAGATCCAGTTTGTGTAGTCTTATTAAATACTGAAGAACAACCTAAACAACTAAAAACATACGAGTCGTAGTTTCTTATGATGTAACTTATATTCATTGAAAACATTGGTAGCAATTAGATATTTTTGAACACTTAATTTTTGCTGTGTCAGTGGTGCAAAATATTTAATTTAAAAAGAATGTGTTGGTGGTGATTTTTTGCCAACTGTGGTATCCTAAGGTGCACTCAAACCAACATATGAATTACTAAAACCATGATAATGGAAGGTTTGACAAGATTTCTTTAGTAAATTTATAATTAAATTTGAATTAACTGCAGATGAAAGGGACTTTCATAAAATGTTTGTTAAACACTGAGTTATGCCAACATATAAATTTCAAGTATAAAGGGCAATACTAATAAATATTTTCTCTCTGCAGGATTGTTTGATTGACTTTCCTGGCTACTGGTAAATAAGAAACATTCAACTTTATGCAGTGAATGCAATGCAAATATATGTTTGACACTGGGCAAATTCTGAACAAGCAATAGCTTTGTTGACAGGCAGTAAAAAAAGGAAACAGATCAGCATGTTAGCCAACCAGCTTTGACCCATTTAACAAATTATCCAGCAAGCAGATCAAGTGTGAAGACTAGACAAGTTCTAGGCTTAAGTCTCTAACTAAACATGAGATGTTGTCCCAAAGGGCAAGAGCAGAGAGTTCAAGGTTGTACACATGATACTTGTCTAGAACTTGTAACTAGATATAAAACCCCACAGAAAATTTTTATGTATAAATATATATATATATATATTATCATAAACTTCTAATCAAAACAAGCTACTTACTTGGAATAGAACTAAAAAATTAACC